AAAGTTTTGTTGTATTTGTATGGTATGCCATCTAGTCTAAGCTTAATTGTTTTTGCCATTGCCAAAATTAGTCAGGCCCGTTTTATTACGGAGGACTATTTAAATTTAGTCATGCCTAACTAGTCGACGCGAGTGACTCAGTTTCGTGGCTCCAAAAATATAAACATTTGATTGGTTGAAATTGTTTATTTCGGTCCGCCCATTTATCCAAATACGGAATATAAGTTTACGTCATTCTTTTGGCATCCTGGTGCCTGATTTCAGTGTTTTACAAGTCGCTTATTCCGTCTATCTCTAAATTAACTTTCTCGTTGGTGGCGCTATCCAGAATGAGAAAAATAATAACAAATAAGAGACTTGTGGCAAGTCTAATAGCAGCAGAGCGACAACTTCAATAGAGGCTCCGAAAGAAACATTTGTTTATGTTGTAGAACTGATTTTTTTAGACAAGAAAAGCATATTATTTTGAAGAAAAACTCGGAAGCAGTTAATGAGATACATATTTTAAGACTAAATATTTGAAAGCGAGGGGGGAGGGGGTTTGAAAAAAGGGTGGTTACGCCCCTTTTTCCCCAGCTTTTATCAAAAAGCTGTATCTCACTAGCCGCTTCCGAGTTTTTCGTCAAAATATGCTTTATTCTTGGCCCAATACTTTTTCTAATTTATATTAACGAAGTGACCTTCCTAATTCAACTGATTATTTCGATTTTCGTTTATTTGCCGATGATTCAAATATTATTTCATTTATTTTCATCTGAATACAATTGATCTTAATGAAGCAAATGAACATTTGAATAAAGTTTCAGAATGATGTAATTCTAATATGTTAACACTTAATTCTAGGCAAAACGAATTACATTATATTTCATATTAGATGCAAGACCGTTAACCCAAGGAACAGTGAAATTATGGTTAACCGAATCGGTGCTTTCTGTCAATGAGGATTTTAAATATTAATGAGGTTTACGCGGTTTATTTTGTTGGTGTTATGTCATGGAAGTGTCATAGTAATAACTGTGTAAAAATGTAAGGAAAAAATAGGCACTGTATGCTATAAGTTAAAATATTTTATTCCACAATCTATTTCTTACTCATTTATAATTCTTTTATTTTGCCATTATTAACCTATGGGATCAAAGTTTGGGGGAGTACTTATTCAACTTATTTAAACAATATTTTACTTAGGCCTATTCAAAAAATATCGTTCAATGTGTTCGACCCTCCTTCCTCTTTGGGGTTCATCGGTTCATGAAAAGAAGAATACGTATGCTACTCATTTTTTTATGTACATATATACACACATAAATAGGCCTATATTTACTGTAAGAGTGAGAAAGTTTGGTTTAACTGACCGTTTTCAAGAGGGGCCGGGAAGAGCCTCGAATTTCGAAGAACTTAAAAGTCATTAAAAGGCACCTCAGAAGTCTGGAAAGCTCATTTCCCTCCATCTGGGAGTCAAAGTTTTCCCTGGGGAGGAGCCCCTTTTCTTTTTGGAGCTTTTATGAAAAACATTTATATCCCCCCCCCCCCTAAAAAAAAAATGTGAAACCAGGTACGCCCGTGTTTATAAACTCTATCTTCAAGGATTGCATTTGTAGATTTCCATTTTTGCTTGTTCAAAGCTATGAATAAAACAATGCCAAAAACAGAAAGTTAAGTAGGCCTACCGGCCTATCACACTAAAAGTAGACTTATTAAAAAAGTTTTAGTCAATACTGTGTTCAAATTTTGTTTATTATTCTATTATTGTGGCAATATATACTGTAAGAACACTTCAGAATAAAACTTTATATGGTTCAAATATCACAATTTCCAAAAAATAAATGATGAGCAAGATAGACATTGTGTTTTAAAGGCCAAAGGTGCTAAGTATATATGTAGAATGTACAATATTTTACTTTTCCATAATCTCAAATTATGATACGGTAATGCCTATCTGTGTTTCCCATAAACTCACAATTATGATACTGTAATGCCTATCTGTGTATCACTACAATGCAAACCGTACATTTTTCATATATATCAGCTCCAAAAATAAAAATAATGTTTTTTGTTTTGCTAATCTTAAGTTCATTACTGCCGTTATTTGAGGAAGTAATTGCAATACTAAATAAATCACCCTTTAAATTGAACATTTGGGGGGGGGGCTTATTCTAAATTTAACATTTCGAAATGTGGCATAGTTGGCATAGTTTAGCATAATTTCCCATCAGCCTCGGCATAATTAAATTTGCATCACTGGTCACACTGTTACAACGTGGTGCGTGATGTTGCATGCTTATGCTTCGCAGGGAGGCTGTGAGTAGAAATGAGTTTAGGCAAAAATATAACAACTTTTTTTCAACAACTAGTTCAATGAAATACAAAAATTTTACTCTACAGTTTCCTTAACAATTTATTTCTTAATGGTATTTTTTCGCTCAAGTCAGTTCAAATGAATGTTGTGGTAGATAAGATGTCAAAATCGACCGCAATCAGAGCGAACTTGGGCCGCTTAGGTTCGGCTTACGTTTATATCAGATATGAAGTTGCGGGATGAGCCGACTCAAATGCCGGACTAAGGTCGGCTCAGGGCCGGCTTAACAATATTGATTGTTCAAGCTTAAAAAATTCCGACCCTGAGCCGACGTAACTCTTAATATGATTGGGCTCTTATTAACTGAGTGACCAGAAGATGTGAAATAATTCCTACAGTTTTTTGTGCGAGTCTGTCTTTGCGTCGTCAGCCAACGCATTTTGACAATACTGACGCAGAGTTTTAAGTGGCGCTATTTCAAAACATAGTTTGAGCGTAAGGATTTGAGACTAAACATTCACCGTGTTTCCAAGGAGATCGTCTCTCTGTGCAGATATTGAAATCGTAAGAAAATGCTTAAGTTTGAACTATTAGGCCTAGGCCTGTAGCAATATATATATTTTAGATTTTCAATAATTTAGTTTGCTTAACAGGAAACTTTAGGCTATCTACCAACCAAACCAAGGAAAGGCTAGGCTAGGCGTAGCCTAGCTAGCCTAGGCCTAGGCCTACCCCTACCTAGGCACTAGGCCCAGGCCTAGGCTGCGGACATGTGTGTGTAGCCTATCCTCTAGTTAGGCCGAGGTACCTATTACTAGGCTGGCCTTGCATTAGCCTATGGCTCTAGGCTAGGCCTAACAGGCCTAAGTACTAGACTAGGCCTGCTATAACTTTTAGTGTAGGAAATTGTATTTTTAATTTTTCAGGCCAACATATGAATTGGCCTTTTAGGCTAGGCCTAGCCTATTGCAGGCTTAAAGCCCCATTCCCGGCAAAATTTCAGTTAAGAAAAATTTGATTTTTATTTATGTTGTTATAAAGGTTTATAAATATAATATGAAATTGCTAGTTTAACTGAATTTAGACATTCCTAAACATGAAAAAATGTAAAATAAGACTGAAATTTGATTTTTCTGTAGTAACAAAGAATTTGTCGAGAATTAGTCCTATAGGAAATAGTCTGTATTTCTCTTTTTTTTTATTCTTTTGCATAAAACTAAAATTTATGCCAGTATTTTTCCATTGTTTATTATAATTAGAGTAATGCATATGCATCTTTTCAAAAATAAAATCTTTTTTAGTAAAATTTTGCCGGGAATGGGGCTTTATATAGCCTAGGCCTATACAAACAATATGAATCTCTAATTTCAGAACACAATGGAAAATATAGAGACAGTTAAGACTGAAGCCGAAGAACAGGAAAATGTCATAGAAGAAAATAAAGAAGTGAAGCAAGGTGTTGGTACACCAGAGAATAATGTGAACCAGAGTAATGACAATGATGAAAAGGATCAGGAGGAAGGAACACATAGGCCTCATTCTGTTTCTAAAGAAGCTACAGGTGAGGAACCTCTAGCTCATGATGATACTGACCATGTGCTTTCAGGTGCAGAAATGCAGGAACATCAAGGAGAAGTTGAGCCTTCTGGGAACGATGTACCATCACAAGAAAAGTCTGAAGATGGAGATAATTCTGTGCCAAAAGAATCATCTGCAGAAAATGAGGCAAAAAAATCTGAAGAAAGAACTGTTAGCACTGCAGAGAAGGAAACTCCAAGAGATGAAAACAACACCGTGAAGCCTACATCCAATGAAATGATGGAAACTGCTGATACTGTTCCTGATGAGATTGAGCAAATTTCAAGAGATCCAACAGGAATCCATCCACCAGTGACCACACCAGCGGAGACTGGAGTCCAACATTCAAATGAGGCCACTGAGAATGACATCGTAGGGACGACGACGGAGCCAATCCAAGAAAGGGTCAAAACACCTGATGATGGTGGCGACGAGGTTAAATGTCAAGAGGAAGAGAGAAAGGATTCATCTTGTAATGCATTGGTGAGATTAAAAATTTACTGCTATGTAAATCAAATAAATTAAAAAATTCAAAGAGATATACTAAAATTTATTTAATTTTTGCATATTTTAGTGGTAATACTAATAGCTTTCCATTGAAAATTGCTCCGGAAAGCAGCATACCAATAATAATTGTAATACTTATTAAAATTCTGCCAGAAAAGCTATTTTTTTTGAAGAGAACTTTTGGTTTACACAACTGTCAATGGTGCAAAGAGATTGATCATGTACGCGCCCAACTTTAGGCTTACTCTAATGCACAAGTATGGTAGTTGCCCTTGCAGCAACCCATGCCACCCTGAGTTTGATATTATTATTTGTTTAAACTCTCCGGGAGAGTTGAGAACACCTGGTAATATATCAAAAGATTAAGGAATTTGCTTCTTTAGTTTTAAATATTAAAATTGTAAAAATAAAACCAATTTCAGCAAAGGGCTAGTAACCTGGGGTCTTTCCTCCCAACGTTTGAGACAGCGTTTCCCCCTACCCCCGTGTCTATATGCAGATACATGACATACACAAAAGGTAGTATGTGAGGGTCAGTAACTTCCACCCAAAGGTTAAGTGTAGGCTCCATTAACTAGCACTGCAAAAGTGAGAAGTGCTATCTCGGGTAAGAAACAGAAGGGCAAAAATCTGGTTACTTGTCTGCTTGTAGTATTAATTAGTGTTACCAACGTTATTTTCATCAACTCTGCAGAACCTATCATGGACCTTTGGAGTGAATAAAAATGTGCCCGCGCTTAACTTGGCCACACCCAACAGGAAGGCAGTGCTGTATGCTGGTGCTAACACCTGTATTCTGTTTGACTACGTGAACAATACACAGAAGTTGCTGCAAGGACATGTGAGTAAAAAATTCCAATAGTAATTAAAACTTTATGAAAAATATCTTTTTTTTTTCTCCCTTACTCTCCTTTAGCATTTTACATACTTGTGTGTCATCACACTTCCAAATTTTTAAGGCAAACCGGTTTAGGCAGTACTCTGGTTATTCTTTGTTTATTAGCTAACTGAGCAATTCTACATTGGAGGGTCATAATCACCAAAAATGTAATCTACATGAATCTAAAATAAAACTTTAAAGGTTTCAAATTTTTTAGTACAAAAATTTGTGGAATCTGTTCAAAGTGAATTTTTAGTCTCATTATTATTAATACCAGTTTAATTTTTATAATTATAAACATTTTAATTAAATTTTATTGATTGTTTTGTTTTACAGAGTAACAATATATCCTGCACTTGTAGTAGCAACGATAAGAGATGGGTTGCAACAGCCGACAAAGGCCCTGAGAGTATGCTCATCATATGGGATTCGCACACTGGGTGAGGACTTGACATTTTTTAAGCCGGGCATTCACTGCGCACAACGGTTGTCGGCAGATGCGATTCTATGCAGTATGCAGCAGCACGATGTGCCCGTAACAGATTGCTTTTAATAGCGATCCCTTGGGACCGCCTTTGACAATCGGAAGACAGCGCTGCGTTGTCTAGCGCTCACAGAGAGCCAAAGGCTCTGGGATGAACTGTCTCCTGCAGCCCAAAGGCATTTCTTTTTAACCCTTTGAACTCGGAAGGCCGGAAAAACGGCCGCGCGCTTACGCTACAGTAACCCGAAAGGCCGGTATACCGGCTATGTGGGTCAGGTGACCTTATTCAGGGTAATCACCTGACCAGTATGAGTAATATGACGTAATTTTGTGACATCATCATTCCCAAGTCGTTCTGACAACCTCGTACGGGTGGATTTTTTTTAAAAGACAAACTTATATTGAATAATTTGACAATAAATGCCAATGATGCTTTACGATTGATACTTGATGACGATTATACAGGAAGCGATTTGTAAAGTGAGGTAAAAAGTGTAGTTTCTAGCCCTAGGCTAGACCTTCAGATCACGATAGTGTTAGGCCTAGTGCCACTGATAGTGATGATAATTTTGCTGTCGGGTTGGTAGATGGCTATGGTAGCGGTACAGGGCCTAGGAGGTGGTGGTGATGATTGTAATAAAAAAAAGCATATTTTGTCCAAATAACTGAGGGTGAGGGTGCCGCAAGATGTAAATAATGCAGGGTTCAAAGGGTTAAGAAAGATTTATTCAAGCATTTTGTCTTTTTAATTTTCTTATTAGTTTTTCTGATTTTTTTTTTATGCACTGTTTTACTATGAAGGATAGGAAAAAAAATTTGTTTCGCTTGTGCTGTTCCCTATCTGGTAAACTATGTTCTTTCTTTATAAATATTATATTGTTGTAATCTTAGTACATCATTTAAAATTTCAGTGTTCCTGTACAAACTCTATTTACTGCACATTCGGAGGTTGGTGTTGTTGCTATGGCAATGACCCCTGATGCTAAGTACCTGGTTACCATCAGTGCTGGGCCTCATCAAGTAGGTATAATCACATAAAACGAAACATTTTTGCACTTTTTTGCTTTTTAGGTGGAAGATAGAATGAATCAAAGAAAACAAAGCTTAATAATTAAATCAATGTTACTGTATTTGTATTTAATTTTTTTTAAATATCATATTTTTGTAATCTCGGATATATGAGACATTGTAGCAGGGAGTGCATGCTAAATGTTTCCTAGCTCTAAATTGTGGTATGCAAAGGATTGAACCTACAACTCTGAGCGCCTAAACCATTGGTTACAGTCGTATTTGTCATGTTTTTATCTTTCAAAATATATACCATTATTCCTGAAATGCTTAAATAAAAGCGAAACGTAGAGTAAAAAATGACCTTGTCAATTTTTGGAATGACATTCCTATTATTTATATCACTTGAAGGTTGTAGATATTTGGGATTGGACAACAGATGGTGAGGTACCTGTAAGTTCAGCTGAGCTTGTTCCGGCCTATGGCACTCAGACTTACATAACATTCAACCCTGAAGACACAACTCAACTGGTATCAAATAGTGACTGCCAAGTCATATTCTATGCATGGGTGAGTTTCATATTAATTGCCTTGACTGAATTTCAAACAAAGTGAATCAGCATCCCCTAATACCCGAAAACACAACTCCGTTTTTCAGGCCATATTTTATGAATGGGGGACAGCAATCCTGTATGCACTTACACCCTGTATGTGCCTCCCCATAGTACATGCAGAAGAGAAAGACAACACAAAAATTATGTCATACATTCAAGGGAAACTCTCAATTGAAAGACAAACAGGAATGGAAAAAGCTAGTGGTCCTTTGCACAGCAGCCAAATGATGATGAGTGTCCTATCAAAAAGATGTTGAGAAGGATCTTATTGTGGAGGATGAAGATGATTATGATGATGATTGTCATTATAATTATAAAGTTTATAATGGTAAGTGTGGCAGTAGTGATTATTATGGTAATGCTCATGGTGAAGATGATGATGATGGTGGCAATGGCTGAGGCAGCATTGAAAATGCTAATGATGACAGCCATAATGTGTTTTTGATTGATGTTTATGTTAATTTGTTACCGTATCAATTGTTTCAATATCTTAATTTCAATTTTCAGGAGAATGGCGAGTTAAAGTATGTGGCACCATCTTTGACAGACGAAGATTTCAACCGGGTTGTCGGCAGCTACAGCCAGTCGATCTTCCGCAGTGGTACCACTGGAGCCCTTACTGCCACGTATGTGGGTAATGTTGTGGTCTGGGATAACAACAGACCTATATCTGGTCGTAAGTAAATCATTACTATTTTTCTGCATCAAATTTAGGAGAACCTGATAAGTAGAAAAGTTTATTTGTTTTCTAAAATGTTGTTTAATACATTTATATGTAAATTTCCAGTATATTGTTTCCACTGACATTTAAGTTGTATGCATTCCACAAAAATCTAGTGCTACATCAAACCCAGTGCAAAAAGTAATGTGTAACCATTTGATCAAAAGAACATGCATGCAACACTGCTTGTCATCAAAGCAGTGATGTATGTAGGCCACAACCCCTCCCCTACTTAATGTTCACGCCCCCATCAACTCCCCATGTCGGTACTCCATGTTATGCCACTGCATCGCAGAAACATGTGCACAAAAAGTGTGCAAAACGTACGCATTATATGCTCAATTTGTGCTCATCAATATAAGGAATTGGAATAACGGCTGGCCTTGTTTCAATCTACTAACACCTTCATGAACGTTACACACTCGTTCATTATTTATGTTTCTTCTTTTTGTGCTTTTGCATACTCTGATTTGCTTTTGTTTTTAGCTCCCAGTTTAAAACCGACGCCAAACAAGAAAGCCTTTAAGCTTGTGAGGCTGCAAGATAGAGGCATAACGGTGCTTACTACCACTGACATGTATGTAACATTCATTCCTTATTGCAACCTTGATGGTGATAGGGTTGATGACTATGATGATGATGTTCATAAAGATAATATAATGTAAAAATAATGCCATAGTAATAGTAAAATTAATTATTATTAAAATTATGAATACCAATTTTTGTAAGGATGTCTCTCCTGACAATGGTGATAAAAATAAAAATGATATTGAGAATATGATAATGATTATGATGATAAACACTATACTGATAATATTGATTAGTAATAATGATTTTGTTTGTAGGATTATGATTATTATGTTTTTTTTAAAATTAAATAACTTCAAACATCAGTTCTCATTATTTCAATGAGAAAAAGCCCTATGTTCTGTTTTACAGACAAAGCACATCTAGTGTAGTTGTTGAATAAATTGATGTTGATGATTTTACTGAGGATGATTAGATAATGATAGTGCGAATCGATGTTTGCCCTACCTGACGTGTTATAGTACTGAATGCTCAGTATGTTCCCAAATGCTAGCGAAAACAATCTTGTAGGTAGTGTGGGTTGGGAATTGAACCCATGACTAGCCTGGTGTCTTAACCACTGGACCACTGCGTTGCAGTATACACTGCTACTTAGGGATCAAATTCATCACTAGCCACCTAGCGGAAGCTCAGTGGTCGGGTGGTTAAGATACCAGGCTGGATTTGTATTATTTCTCCTGACGCAAAATGCCATCGGAATAATGATTATGATCACTGTGATAATTCTGGAAAAACTTTTGCAATTCCAATCAAGAATTTGCTTTTTTTTTTAATCAAACAAATTATCAACATTCGATGTGGCACAGAGACTGTTTTTTTTTCTTCAATTGATTACCAGCTAATTTAGGAGTCTTGGTGTAAAAGATAATTGTTATAAGATTGGTTTCATTAATGCGCCTGCTAATTGAAAAGAAAATTATTTTCATCGTCAATTCAATTTGAAAGCTAATAAACTTCAGTATTAATTCAATTAATTTAATTGTTCATGTTTATTAGCTCAAGGCATACAGGATATAATTAACAAGTGAATTTGTTTATATCTGTAGGTATGTTGTGACAGGCGATGTCAATGGACATGTAAAGTTTTATGATCAACAATTGCGCGTCAGTAATTGGTACAACAAGTTTGATGTTGGGCCCATCAATTCCATCTCCTTTGAGCACGTTCCTAATTTCCGTCCTGAGTAAGTATGAACGATGATAAAGTACATTGTATGTGCCTTTATCTCTTCTTTAACTCCCAACTTGGATTTTGATTGGTGGAATATCTGATGACAGTAGGCTATTGTCATCAGAAGTGTCACTAAGTGAAATACAGTATCTAATGACAATTTGACAAACAATGTGGAATTCAGAGATATTTTTAATCTAACTCAGTGGTACTTAATTGTCAGAATTAAATCAGTCTTAAGGCCTGTTTATGCTAGCAACAATAACGATAATAAGCTAAAAAGCAAGTGTTCATATAGAAAATAAAAGAAATAAAAGTTGTTTTCACACCAGTACGATTCGATAAAATCATTTTACTGCTACAATTATCGCTTTCCTTGGATTATGACGTCATTTGATTTGCTTTGTGAAAATATTTTGTTATCGTACACACGATTAATTGTTATCGAATCGTGTGTAAAAACTTCCCTTATTTCTTTTATTTTCTATATGAACAATTGCTTTTCAGCGTTTTATCGTTATCGTTATCCTTGCAAGTATAAACAGGCCTTTATGTTAAAGAACCTGTAAAATATCTTTTAACTAAATAAAGTTATTAATGTATGACTGAAGATGATGATGGTGGTTGTTATGATGGTAGATGAAAATTGTGTAGAAGTGATGAAGATTATTTGGATTATAAAGAGGAGGATGATCTTGATTATATCATGTGATGGCAAGAAAAGAGTTTCTCTTAGTGGAATAATAATGTTATCTTATATTAATGATAATTTTAATGATGATGCTAATGATGATGATGTTCATGGTGTAATAAGATAAATAGAAAATGTTCTTATGACTATTAGAAGATTATGATGATATTAATAATGATGGTAATTACATGGGTAATATTGATGATGAAAACATAGAAAATAATGAGTGTAAAGGGATGTTTGAAGGTTGATAAATGTTGATATTGAAATTGAAATAATATGACTGATGATTATGATTTTCAAGATGAAAATAGTGATGATTATAAAGAAACAATCAATTTATATTTTTTTCTACAAAAGAGAAACATATGGTAATGACTACCCTCCTGATGCCACTATTGATGCAAGGATGTTCATCACAAAGAATTATGTAATAAGCACAACAATGGCTCAAGTTGCAGCCATCGTAGCTGATGGCTCTAAAGTTCAGGTAACTCCAGCACCCAAACCGAAGTATAGGGATACGCCCTCATCGCTGGCTAGGGTTCAATCTAATTGAACTAGTCAGCACCTGTTGAGTCTCGGCCATCTCGGATTCGGGCGCCTCCTATCCTAGTTAAGTCTAAACAAAAAGCTAGCTGGCATGGAAATAGGGAAAAAAATAAATTAAAGGGACGAGAATAAGTGGGTCTTAAGTCATTCTTTGAAAATGGTGACAGAAGGTGACTCACGAATAAATAACGGTAACAAGTTCCACAACTTGGGCCCAGCAACCATAAACGATCGCTCCCCACAAGACTTTAACCGAAAGGATGGACAATAAAGATTGGTTGAGTCAGTTGTTGACCGGAGGGAACGAGTGCAAGTTGCAGAACGAACCTTAATTAATTCGGTCGGTATTGTTATTAACAATAATGATAATAAGCTAAAAAGCAAGTGTTCATATAGAAAATAAAAGAAATAAAAGTTGTTTTCACACCAGTACGATTCGATAAAATCATTTTACTGCTACAATTTTATCGCTTTCCTTGGATTATGACGTCATTTGCTTTGTGAAAATATTTTGTTATCGTACACACGATTAATTGTTATCGAATCGTGTGTAAAAACTTCTCTTATTTCTTTTATTTTCTATATGAACAATTGCTTTTCAGCATTTTATCGTTATCGTTATCCTTGCAAGTATAAACAGGCCTTTATGTTAAAGAACCTGTAAAATATCTTTAACTAAATAAAGTTATTAATGTATGACTGAAGATGATGATGGTGGTTGTTATGATGGTAGATGAAAATTGTGTAGAAGTGATGAAGATTATTTGGATTATAAAGAGGAGGATGAGGGTGATTATGGTGATGTGTGTTGTATCATGTGATGGCAAGCAAAGAGTTTCTCTTAGTGGAATAATAATGTTATCTTATATTAATGATAATTTTAATGATGATGCTAATGATGATGATGTTCATGGTGTAATAAGATAAATAGAAAATGTTCTTATGACTATTAGAAGATTATGATGATATTAATAATGATGGTAATTACATGGGTAATATTGATGATGAAAACATAGAAAATAATGAGTGTAAAGGGATGTTTGAAGGTTGATAAATGTTGATATTGAAATTGAAATAATATGACTGATGATTATGATTTTCAAGATGAAAATAGTGATGATTATAAAGAAACAATCAATTTATATTTTTTTCTACAAAAGAGAAACATATGGTAATGACTACCCTCCTGATGCCACTATTGATGCAAGGATGTTCATCACAAAGAATTATGTAATAAGCACAACAATGGCTCAAGTTGCAGCCATCGTAGCTGATGGCTCTAAAGTTCAGGTAACTCTTAGATTAATTTTTTTGCGGTTATGTTGGAAATAATAGGAAGCTTTTGACTGCGCAATGTCCGGTAAATGACAAACGAATGTAACGACGTCCCGTAAAGTCGTGCACATGCAGGATGATGTCATTGTCGTCTGAGATTCTACGATGCAGATTGGCCTAATTCTATTTTGTACAGAGAATGCAGGATGGTCACGCATGGGTGATTCTGTCTTAGAGTCACATGACTCAAATGGAAAGCTCTATAATATTTAAAATTTTGGTAAGACGGCCCTGGAGAGGTGCTTGTTCACCTGTTCTGTTCTTGCCTGTTGAAGTTAAATAAAAAAATTAAAAAAAATGATAGGCATCAATAATATTTGTTATAGTTGTGTTATATTTGGCAAATATTTATTATTTTATTTTTTAATATTGGTTTAGAATCTTTTTCAATTGATTTTATTTTTTTGTGGTTGAAACTATAAGGAAATCATAGTAATAGTATTTGTGTTGCCCAAAGCACTAGGGTATTAAAATTGACCTTTCTGCAAAACCCCGCCCAATGGATATTGCTAAGGTCCCACAAATCAACATTGTGAAAACATTTGCAGACACATGTTTGTGGTACAACATGTGTGTTTGTAGGACGTGCATATTCCAGGCCCTGTTCTGATTGGTCAGTTAAGTTTGATTGACAGTTTGGAAAGGTCCATTGTGAACTGGGGCTGGTTGATCAGAGATTTAAAAACAAAATCTGCAATATACCTTTGCTTAATTCTAGATATAAATTTGTGTTAACCTTATAACAATTTTTGGTTAAGTATCATACTTTTTATTGTTGATTGTTGTTAAAGAAGGTGATGGAAACTGATGGTGTGTGTAATTTTTTTTCTTAATGACATCTTAACTCTCTTACCGCAGATGATTCAGACCGAACATGATTCGTTAGTTCATGCGATAGTCACTCATCCCACGCAGTAAGTTCTACTTTTCTCCTGCGAACAAAATCTATTTTTAAGACTTAAATAGCTGTCATTGTGACCCAGATGTATAATGTATAGTTGTGTACTTTAAATAGTTTATAATGAACCCTCCAGAAATTTACCTTTACACAAGAGAACAATTATTGGGATATTATGAATGGAGGAGGATGATGGTTATAATGATAATAACAGTGATAATGTTGTCAAAGACATTGATGAGGATGTTGATGACTTGAGAATCTGCGGGAGAGAAAGCGATGATGATACTCATAATTAAGCTACGTCTTTACGCTACTATGATGATGTTGGTGCTGAGAGCAATAATATTAAGTAATGATACTCAATATTAAAATTAAAAGCAATAGAGAATGGTAAAAATTACCAGTAGCTGTTTTGTGTTTATTATTGTGTTCTGTGAAAATGAATTTATATTGTTGTTAAACCATTTTGTTAGTATTAAATTTAATATGTTTTATTTTCTACATATTTTCTCACATGATCTTGAAAATTATGCTAATATTTTTTGTGTAGACCATTAATAGCCATTGGTAGCTATTCCTGTTTGTTGAAAGTCTGGAATTATCAAACTAAGTGAGTTTACAATACAAGCTTTCTTTTATTATGAAGTTTTACAATCATCATACTGTAGTATTTTGGCCTATCATATAACAAGTGTTCTTAAAGTAGAATTTTTTAATATTTTCTTCTTGTCAACATTTTTTTTCTTCTCAGAACACTAGTGATTTCTAGGCAGTTCCCACGTGGTCACATGATCAGATGCTTAGCCTTTGACCCCAAGGGAGAATACTTAGGTATGTTATTTTCTATTTATAAGACAACTTGTTCTTGCAAGGCTTGATTAAAAAACAATTCCTCAGCTCTTCATAGAATGATGATTATCCCTCATTCAAAATTGTACCACTGTGCGTGGGTTTGTGCAGTATTCTGAAATGAATTGAAAGTGCTTAAAGTTTAGGTTAAGATATCTATAAACGGTACAATAAGGCACATTTGAAACTGAGTAGAGCTTGTTCAGTATTCATATTTAGAGAAAAGTAATTATACATGATGCCCTCTACTCTATTAAGTAATAAAATTCATAAGTAAAACATAAGTAAAATGGGCAGTGTATCTACAATTTTTTAAACAACGGGGTGGGGCACCAAATTATCAGAATAAGTGTGAAACACCAGCAGCAGTGGCTCTATTTGTATTTTGTATTTTTAGTTTTTTTTTTTTTAATTTATTGAAATAAACATAATGTAGTGGCAAAACATGGAAGAGGGAGTGTTGGAGACATATTCCCAAGTGGAAGAAGGATGATTCTTTAAAATTCTTTCTAATTTAAAGCTAATTTTACTTAGATTTTTGGGAGTTGTTTTCTTGATTTTTTGGTGCCAATATATTGGAAAAGATCGATCACTAAAGGTAGTTACCTAAAGCGTTAAGCATATAACTGCCATAGTAACTATGAGCCTGGGGGCATGGAAGTCCTTCAAGTAGATGGCTTGTTTAATTAGTGATAAAAGGTTCACACAGAAACCGAGGTGAACTTATATAGATGTTGGAACTGAAATTTAATGATCAAAATATTACTAATTATCCAAAGGAAAGCAAAGTTGATGGAAAAGGGAAAAAACTACTATAGGTATAAATTTTTTTGTTTTTTTTTATTTTTTCATTTCCTTCACATCCAATAGCAAGTAAACTTGCCACTTACAGGATGAGAATAATGCTTTATAAAACGAGTGTCTTTATGAAGCTTAGAGAGTGAAGTTGTGTGAAAACAATCCTGCTGTGACAGGAAGTGAAAATCAAGCATCTTAACCGATTGCAAATTTTAATTTGGTCGCTCAGAGTCGGGACTACTTAGTGTTGAAGATAGGGTGAAATTTCATGGCTGTTTATAACATTTTTAATAACTGTCCACTTTATATAAAAAGTCAATAAAAGGATCTATTACAATCATAACACTAAAACCAGCTCTTTTAACTATAGAATTCTCTACCTGTGGTACTGACAAAAAGATTTTCCATACAATTTTTTACTTTTAAACTTAAATTAAAACATTTTTTTGCAGAGTTAGCCACCTATTTTTAAACAATGTTATAAGTGTTTTAGCCTTTTCTAATTTTTAAAAACTTTTTAAAGTGTTTTTTTTTTGTTATATCATGGTACCTCATTCCTTGGACTTTATGGCTAATCCAGGCATCTTAACTTTAAATGGTTTTTTTTTAATTTGTTTTTTATAATGTACCTTTATACCTTGTTTCAAACTGAATTGTTGTTTTTGATGCCAAATGAAGTCTGCTCAAGTCAGTCATAAATCAATTGAATCCTGGTTATAGTTTTTGCAATCAACTGGTTATGCGTCACAAATCAGTTCATGTGGTAACAAAAAACAAGGTATGCGTCATAGGCAATAGTAATTAAGTACTTCATTATCTCCTGGCTGTATAATCATGGCTTCCTTAAAAAAAGTTATTTTGCGCATGGGCGCAGATCATGGGGGCATACATATTTTTAATGGGAGGTTAGTCTTCCCTACTATTTCCTCAAATTTTTTGACTCATGACTGCCCCCCACCCCAAACCACCTTTCAAAACAGATCTGCGCTCTTGCCTAATTGGCTAATAGTTTTTTTGTTAAAATGTAGAAACCTATACTTTTATGCATTGACTTAGTATTAGGTATGTTTAATTCAGATGATATAAAAAAACATTTTTAAATAATTCTTGTTTTTTTCAGTAAATATAAAATATCATCCATAAAAAGATGTCTAGCTGAAATTTGTTCTGGTTTTTAGTGAAGAGAAAGCATAAATGTAGATGCCTTCATGCATTGACTTTATTGATTATCAATTACATTTCAATTATCATATAATAGTAGTTGGAAACATATTAGTCAGAAAAACTACAGTAGATCTTTTGGACACATGATAAGGGGACACTTTCTTGGCCATGAACAAGGAATTATAATTTAACAATAACAGCCAACCCCTATACAGGTGACAAGCCTAGTATTAAGGGGACACTTTTTTATTGTATGTAAAATGAAACACATTGTGGTACTTTATTGACGTCATTTTTAATAATTACACAAGCTTTCACAAGCAGTATATGCTAACTTTACTAGGCACAGTGACTGCACCTGATCCAACTGCCTGATGATATTGATATTTTCAGCCAATGACTTGCTGCACTGGGTTCTCTGTATAATCAGTTTAGAAAACAAAAGGCTTACATTGGCTACAATACAATACTAATAGCGCCCTCAGTTACACTCTATAAACTCCTGTGTACTCATAGATTACAGTATACCACTGATGAAATTAAATAATAGAAGCTACAATGACAGCATAAATGTAGCTGAAGTGCATAAATAGTAGCCATTTGACCAATCACTTGACCATGTACTTCATCACGTGCTACTCTATTTAACCTTGCCTGACCCGAAAATATTTTCAAACCACTTTAGGACTTTTGATTATACTTGTAGATTTTGCCACTCTGGTAAATGTGTTGAGAAGGGAGAAAATTCCTAAGACTCCATAGGCGTCCAACTGATTTTGTTAGTATTTCCTATCCTATGGCAGTGTGTATGGATTTCAAATAGCTTGATTTTACTCTATAGATGGCTGCTCACTGCCCCAGATAGATTTTAGATGGTGGTTAATGGAAATTGACCCAGAGGGCCTAGAGATTTAAGGTCAACACTTATTAAAGCCTGTTCATTTATTAGCTGGATGATCTTCTGCAGGGAAGATGATATCACAATCATTCATAAGTGCATTAGTAAATATATATATAATTCAAATTTATCCTGACATCAAGTACGTTAATAAGTGTTTTCCAATTAACAAAACAATTAACCCGAAAACTCCTGTGAATTATTTCGGGCAGATTGTTGATTAGAACAGAAACACATGCATTACAGAAGATGCTGGCCTGTGTATTATATTTTTGCATTTTCGCACTACCATTTTTTAAAAAATAATATGTTCTTCTATCTTGTTTCCCTATGTTTTTTTTTTGTTCCACCAGGTTTTTCTATTGACCAATTATATCACTTTTTTTTTTCTTGCATCTTCATCAAACTCGGTCCAAGCAAAGTGCATATTGCAGAGATGTATAGTAAAATAAAGGATTCTACAAATATCTTCATAATTTCAAACATAGGTACTCATTATGCCAGTGAAGAAAAATCTTATGTTCTGTTTCTAGTTGTTATATTTATATTATTATATGTTTTATTAACCAATGTTAATAAATAAGTGGAAATAATAAAAGGTTTTAATGTTTACTTCAGGAGTTGGCTTTACCAATGGATGTGTGCGCATCCTGGATGTTCTCACCCTGGAAGATGACATTCCAAAGCCTTTCACATACTCATCCGATGCTGTCATCATTTGTACATTCTCACATGATTCGGCCTGGATGGCTACTGCGGTAGGTAGCGGTGCCATGCCACAAGACCATAGTAGGCACAATTTTTTCTCTATTGTGCATTAGTCTGTAAAACATTATCAGTAAATACACAAATTTAATTATAATCTTCTTTTTCTTAATTCTTAAGAATATTTCATCAATAATATTACCACTGCTTTGATCAATATTGTCATTACTTAATTACCGTCTTTAGGCGAGACTTTTTTAATACCTTGTTTAGCGAACCCGCCGACTGCAAATATTGATGATTTCGAATAAAAATAAAATTTTATTTTTGGCCAATTAGTGTACTGAAAAGTTGAAATTTCAGAAAAAAATAGTTTTTTAAAATTTTTATTACGACCCTCCACTGCCTTGAAATCTCCAAAGATAAGATATGTATATTTCTTCCTAATTATATAAATTAGAAGCATTTAACCATCCTATTTTACACTCACTAATAAAATTTTCTTTTTATTTTCTCCCGTCTGGATGATTTTGTCAAAAATACTTGCTAAATAAGAAAACAAAATTTTAATTTTATTTTTATTCAGTCCTCCTCCGATAATCTTTTAAAAAAATAAGTACGCAAAACAAGGAATAAAAAAAGTCTCAGCTTACTATCATCATACACGTAATACATTATCATTCACAAGACCAACAGCAGTGGAGAATGCATGAATTTACAATAAAATACTTTGAAACTATGTCTTCATAATTATAGAAATTAGCTTTACTATTTTACTATTAATTTTAATTCAATTCAATTAAAATTTAGTTTGAAGCATAGATCTGAATTACTTGAGTTCCAGTAAAAATAAAAACATTAAAATAATGTGAAATAAGCAAACAATAAAGATGGTACTTTAAAGTGGAAAATTATTATCATTATTACCAGCTTTATAAAGTTATCCTTACAGATTTTCAACATTCATCATTCTTCCCCAGAAGATGATTAGAGTATACTAATTTGGAACATTGCAAAATTACAATCTAAATGGTTCAAATAACATCAAATGAGATTTCTAGCATATGCCATATGGTGTACTGAAAGTAATAATAATTATGACTGTTATCATTTCATAAATATCACTTTTGTAATATTTGTCAGCTCTCTAAATATTAGAAACATAATTTTTCATTTGTTTTAAAATTTAATTTTTGGTTTCTATGCTGTAAAGCCATAGCAACCCTTGCAATCTTCCATGCATGTGGATCTGTACGTCTGTGCTGCAAATTCTTCAAAAGTATGTAAACAAGCAAACTTGAATTTCCAAACACCTGTTGGGTATGAATTTTGAATGTCTATTTGATAGAAACCATATCCAATTTTCTGACCCCTCCAAATGATAAATTAGACTCTAGGGAATGTACCAAAAATGCAACTGTTGCTTTAGATTAAATTATATTGAAAAGTCCCTAACACTTCTACCTGAATTAAGAATTTAAACAATATATATTTTGAGTTCAATTTAAAGAAAGGCCTGGGTCCATTACATTTATTTCCTTATTTCTACTTACATCACACAAATAATATAATATTTGTGTGATATAAATAGAAATAATGAAAAAAAAATAACAGATCCTTCTTTTTTCTATTTACATCACACAAATCATATAATATTTTACCAAAATGGCTGCATAAGAACATCAGCCCTCGCAGAGGTCTGGTTTGCAGATTTTGATGATATGAATATCTTTTTCGCATTTCAGGATGCCAATTTTTGTGTAACGGTGTATAAGGGACTACCTGCAAACCAGAATGAGCCGTGGACATACCTTGGTAAACATCGCTCCCATTACAAACCAATCCGTGGTTTGACATTTGGAATTGCACTAGATTCAGACATACCACGGCTTCTTTCGATTGGTGAAGATAGATCATTGGTGAGATTTATTTTACAAGATTACTATTATTTATATTATTCATTTGTTTGTATTAAAAAAATCACATATAAAGCAACTGTGCCATTCTAAAGGCTTGCAATAGACACTTTATGCAACAGGATGGGAAGACGAGTGGACAGTGGTTTTGTGCTCTTCGGAGCGTGAAGACCACAGTAAAAAATAAGGCGCTTAACCCGAACTTCCGTTGTCGAAGGCTCCCCGTCCTCTTGTGTAAAGTGCCTATTATAATACAGCCAGTACATCTTCCAGTGGGTTTTTGTCAAACTGACAACTGACTGATCACAACAGCGCCAGTAATATATGCTTGCCCTACAAAGAAAGATATTTTTTCACACGTTTGCTTACAAACATGCTGTTGTTTCTGGAATCTTAACAACAATATTCATGGGTTGGAGCTTAACAGAATGGTCTGCTAAGACCCAGATTGTAATTGATTTAATGCTCATTTATATACTTTTCACTAACTGCAAAAATTTGAAGTTTATTTCCAACCATTTTCCAAAAATGCTTATAATGAATGGTATTATTTATACCTTTGTTAATTTTGTAAGAAATTATATTTTTATCCTAATTTGCAATTGAAAGTTAATAAAAATATGCAGTTATCAATTTAAAGTTGTTAAAATTTCAATTATAAGTAATTGTTCAAATTTATTAGTTTTAAATATTATCTTTAACTATGTCAAAGTTTATCAATTGCTTATTAGTTTGGCATCCTTTTTTTCTATTCGTATTGAAATCAACAATGAGAGGCTGATTAGCCTTGCACTTTGCTTCTTTCATCAATACCTAATTCATCGGTCATTATTCCAATTTTGTTGCATCGTTATTATCCAAAATTAGCAGCAATTATATCAAGCAAATGTCATCCGCCTACAGTTGCATCATTTACCAGCTGTAGTGATTCATGAAATTGTTAGCGTCTTCAGTACATATAGACTCGCGGTGAGGATTAGCTCAGCTGTTGTTTAGAGTACACCCAATGTCATATTGCTTGGAAGATGCTTTGATTGAAAGGGTAGTTTTCAGGCCTTAGCTTTAGTAATTAGAGTCCTTGCTTAATGTGCTTTTCTGTTTGTTTAAAAATATACTCACTTTAGCATTTCTCATAAAGAGTAACAGATATAAATTCGTGTGTTTTTAATTTATTTTTTTTTTATTTTAAACAATGATTATCAAAAGTACTGTAGTAAAATAATAATTGAGAAGAATAACAAATAAAAAACTAACAAAATATATAATTGATATATTTCTATGAGAGAGAGAAACAAATTAAGCTATTGTGAAATAATAAAAATGGGAATAATTATGAATTATACAGGAAGTTAGTTTGATATGTTATGTAGATGCCAATAAAATTCAGCTTCACTGAGTCAGACATCTTCATGGATAATATACTGCATAATACATTTTTAAAGACAGTGTGTAAAAGCTATATTTGATTACATTTATGTTCTTAAATCTGAACATTTTTACTTAAATTATTTATTTATTTCAACAATATTTTGTGAGGATGGACCACTCTCACAAAATTTGTTTATAATAAATATATAAATTTGTAATTTTAATAAAATTGTTCAAATTTAAGAACATAAATGTATAATTTATATTAGCAAGTTTCAGCGTGGTATATAAAATTCATTTTAATACCATTTTAAAGACAATATATAGTTTGATTCTTTTTATTTCCAATAAGCTGGGGAGTCTGATCAGTACATTGTATTGTACAGTACTCCCAAGAGCCACGGATAATTGATTTATTCTTACCGTCCCTTTATTCACACACTTGCTCATTTCGAACAGCCATGGTTAATGTTCTAATTTATTTGCATCTTGCCAAATTTGTACATTATCAAGCTATAATTGAAACGTTTTACGTACCCATCCGTTGGGAATTATGTATCCGAAGGGGTTTATTCTCTATTCTGCATATAACCTTTTATATGAAAAGTTTGTATTCACAACGCTTGATCATCCAATGAATGATTTTTTTCAGCTGTAATAAAAGTTAAAATATATGTAACTATAATAGTCAAAACCTGATCTAGAATACTAATGACAATTCAAGGAATTTAGTTTTTTTCTGTATGTAAATTAATTTTGATTGGCCATGAATGTGCTGGTTGTTATATTGAGATTAGTAAAGAAATCTTTTAATTTGATTTATTGCTTTATTTTTCTGTAGTATCAATATTTCTTTTTTAACTTAAAAAAACAAACATTTAAAACAAACTTATTAATTTTATTTATTTTTCTGTTTATTAATATTCCTAAATTAAACAAACTTATTTAAAATGCTCAGCTAAGGTTAGCAGGAATCAAAAAGTCCAAATTCTACACCACCAAAGAAACACAATTAGCATGTAATTGTGAAACATATACCCTAAACTAAGAGACAACAGAAATTAATGAAAATGTCATCTTTCAGAGATGGTTGTATGTCTTCCTAATAGCTTTTGTCATCACACGTAGGGAGAAATTATTAAAATGGAACTCAAAGTAACAAAATAATATTTCTAGACAAAACAACCTTCAGGAACTAAAATTTAGAAAAATAACCTCATCAAGATTAGGAACTTTTATTCCTTTTTTTCTATTTATGTAATATATTTAATGAGTCTTTACCTATTTGCCAACTACTGGACAGTCATGTATTTTGTTACTCTTTTGTTTATTTTTTCCATGTAATCAATCACACTTTTAATTTCAATGAAGGTGTCAACGAACATCTTAGGTAATGTACGGTACTGGATATTAAGTAGCAATTACCTCTTATGCATTTCCTGATCATTAACTGTCTTCAGTAAATGGCCTCTTAATGGTTTCCTTTCCCATAAGTACACAGTCATTTGGTCGCTATTGAAAAACCTAGTTTCTTAAATGTAACTCGGTGATGGATGCTAATCTTGGGTCGGTTGGTAGATTATTGTATACCAGTGACTCGCGTTAATACTGTCGTTTGCTACGCACAAATTTGCTCCACTTGATTAACGTTATGCTAGCGTAACTCATGCATGATCATAAGTCACTGGAAACTGTATAGTTTCATCAGAATTTGATAATTTATTTAATCCTGAGGTAGATGAGCATTTAAATGTTTTAATTGCTTTTTAAGTTGTTACATCCACAATCTATCATATACACGACCTGCTTATTGTTAAGTATACAGGCACGGGGCAGAGGTATGCACTATTTAGTGCCCTTAGTTATTCCTGATTTTGCCATAGGCAGATGTATAACTGAAAACTACAACCAAAAGAACTACTAAAAAACTTTTAAAAAGCCATTAACTTAAGAGAAGAATTCATTCTGATGATACGACCCTCAGTATCATTTCTATTTACAAAACCCGCATTGAGTTAATTGATTCAGTTCAGGCCTTCAATTTTATTTATTCATGCTCAGCTGTAGCTAAATATAACTTGGAGGATCGTCACTATCAGAGCAAGTTAATAACGAGAACATTAACTTGTCTTTTCTTTAGATCAATTAAGCTACAGGTTGGGAATACATTTATTAGATCAAATGCATTAAGTTGTGGGGTATGTTTACACAACAGTAGGACTAGAATAAAGCGAATGATCAATGCCCAGGTCATCTTTGTATATTCCTTAATAATAAGATTATGGCAATTACCATGCATAGGGATTATTTCAAGCGAAGAAAATAGTTTTCCACTCAATAACAACATGTGTGAAGATGCCGAATTTGGAGAATGCGATAATTGGAAGTAAATTTGATTAATAGAATTAATTTTGTCTGAAATTGTTAGCGATGTATTTATTAAGTGGAATATATTAATTTGATTTAACTATAAATAATTCAAATGAATTTAATGTGTTACCTTTTGGAAGAGATATTTGCTGTGAGACCATGGGAGCAATTTGATTTTGTACTACAATGTAACCGTAAGCCATAGTGCTGCCTCTATCTATGAAATTCACCAGGTCCTAAACTTCATTATCATTTCTCTAAATATTTTCACTTTCAAAGTAATGCCTAATTATTTTTTATAGACCTCAAATTGGACCCTGTTAATAATTTTTTTATACTGTATTTGCTGAATTTATTTTTTTTTTAAATTATTTAAAAAAATTTAAATTAAAAAAAATTGCTCATGTTTAGGCATAGAGATATTCAGGTATTAGTGGACCGAAGTGATGACGTCAGTTGAAGTCCATCTGTGCTAGTTTGTGTGACACGTTCTTTGATTGGAACCAGTCAGACTCTGTAGTGTCGCATTTTGGTTCTCTTTTAGTTAATGTTTTGTATCTTGAACTAGATTTGGGGGTCACTATTTTTGAAAATAGTGACCTGTATACAAGCCACTATTGCCTGAAGAAAAAGTGGCCAAAATTTGTTGGTTGTGATTCATCATCATTTATTTAAGTCAGTTTTCTTCCCTCTTCCAAGGGGTTACTGACTGTCACTCGTTCCATGCAGCTACACCATCTCTCCACTTCTTCCTGTCTTGTGCATCATACTCCTCCAAACCAATTTTTGCACTTTCTTTCTTCACCATATCTTTCCACGTCACATTTGGCCGCCCCCTTACTCTTCTACTTTCAACTTCTAGATGCCGGGCTCCCTTTACTGGATCACCTTCATCTTTTCTTAGCACATGACCCATCCATCTCAAGCAACTCCTCATAACAACCTCCACAATTGTTTCACTTAGACCTAGACGTTCCATAAGCTCCTTTGTGAATATTAATTATATTATGTATGCTGGTTTCCAATGTGCTTCAGTAATCAGGGATCCTAAGTCTCTAGCATGTTGCGGGAGTCATTCACGATCAAGCAAGAATCTCCCGGATAATAACACATCTCCCACAAATTCATAATATTTGCACGTTTTTACTACTTTATTATCAGTTGTATCACAAAAGTCAGTGTTTCTGGATATCACAGTGCAGCAAAATATAATTAGATGTGTTAAAAATGCTCATTTAACCAGATCTCCTGGAAGTGACTTCTTCCAACAGCGACCCCCTGACTTCCAAACAATCGCTACACGCTATCGCTGACAGCTGTCGGTGATGCTGATTGGTCGGTCATATCGGGGACCCTCCCAGAAACGCAGTACAACAATTGCACTGAAAACACTGTAGCGACAGTGTAGCGATTTATATAATAATCATTGTTATTACAATATTAATGATAATTTAATATAATTGTTATTGTTAATCATGCTGATAGTTTAAACCAGATTCTGTGGCAAGCAACAAGTTATAGTACTACAATACATTTTAATCTTAATACATTTTCATATTTTTCTACCATTATATTTGTGACGATACTGAACCGATTTGTTATTTAAAAATTCAGGTTGAGTACGACTTGTTTAAGAGTACCATTGATGACCTTCGACTCATGAGCTTGGATCGGATTGAACAGACTGCAATCCCACAGTGCATTGAATGGTATCCACCAATCACAAAGGAGCAATTCCTGGTTACTGCTAATGACCAGGTTAGAATTGGACAAAAAGTAGTGCAGTGTTATATGAGTATAGTATACTGGATATGCACAGTAATGGAGTGATGATGATTATGATGATGAGTGGTAGTGGTGTAGGTGAAGATGAGGAGGAGGAGAATGATGATGTTGAAAGGAGAATGATGATGGTAGTAATAATAATGAGGATGATCTTGATGGTTTGATTGGATTTATTTGGTGTAAACACCAAGGATAGCCCTCAAAAGTCTAGAAGAAGACTTATTTCCAGTGGGGTCCTTCTGGTGGTGATTAGGCAGTACACTGGGAGTACTCTTTTCCGAAAAGTGTACTCTGTTCTTTAACGTGCACATGGGCTATAAATGCACACAGGACCAACAGCTTAAACGGTACACTTGTATTTCAGCCCTCCAACTGAAACACAAGGAGATGCAGCGATGGGAATTGAACCGGGGACCTATAGATCTCCACGGTTCAGTGCACACACAGTGGCTACCACCAGATTAGCCGACTGAGCTAAGGTGCTCTGTAAATACATGGTGAATATGAAGACAATGATGATAATGAATTTTTTAATATGGGTGGTTGGGATGATGAATGTGTCAGTGATGACATAATGATCATGAAAATTTAAAGGATGTTGGTGTGGTGACAATGATAGGAGTGTTGACGGTGGATGGTTTTTGCAGATGTTCACAATGATTTTGGTGGTGACGGTGACTGTGACGACATTGGTGAATTGTAGTTTTGACAATTATGATTATTGCATTTTGTTATTTTGATAATGATTATAATACTGTATTGGTAATTATCATTTTCATAATTGGGAAAGTTTTTTAAGTTATGTAAAAATCTCTTTTAAATCTCATTAAATTTGTCTTATTTTAATTAGATTATATTCAACATCTATTATTAATTAATTCTTTTTCTATAAATTTGTTTTTTAATTTTTGTTGCTATTACTATATATAGTTCAAGTTCAAGTTGTACAATTCCACAACTAAAATGTGCAGAAAGACATTGCTTAGCCCTACGTATGGGAGTCCATTACAGAAGTAAGTTAGTTGTTAATGTTATTCTGTTTTCGTTATTTATGTCGAACATATTATTGGTATCGTTGAATCCTTTAAAAAAAAAAATTTCTTGGAAAGACGGTTTGGTTTTAATGATATTAATCCATCCAGGTTTAGATACCATACCAAATTGTAGTGTTAATTAACTGTGAAGTGGTTGAAGTTGTCTTATTTAGGATGGTAGCACTGGTAATCAGTGGCGGATCCAGGAATTTTAAATAGAGGGGGCCCAGGGAAGGACTTTTACAGATGGAGGGTCTATACTACCTCAGTCCCACCATGGTTGGGGCTGAAGTAAGAAAATTTACGATTATGGCACCTTTAGATAACTGGAAATGGCACTCTCCGACTTGATATTTAAAAATGATTTTCTTTTTTTCTCCAATTGTTTACAATTTCGAAAACCCACCTTGAATCTGCCACTGGTAATGTAAGCATCTTTATACAATTCCTTTAAGCGTGTTTTCTTATTATGTTTAGGATGGTAGTGTTACCAACCAAAGACGTGATGAGCAGCAAGAGATACATAAGTTTCATCACTAAAGATAAAATTGGTTTGAACATAATGCCATTGGATGGAAACCCCCACAATGGAATGGCTCTAATTGCACACCCTGGTGGAGTAAGTTTTGAATTTACTTTAATTAGTAATTATACATCTGAAATGGCATTCTTAGATCTGGGACGGTTTGACGTACGTCATTGTGATGATTGTGTATATATGCGTAATTATTTTCATAATATCACCAAGTTCAATTGTCTTAGATGTGAAATCATCTTTGAATACGTCATTGCACAGAAAGTGTTCTTCCGGATAACACTTGCATACGTGTCGCCTCATTTGATTGAGCTATCGCACTAGCTGTGGTGTGATGTATCTCGATGCACTGTTTTGCGTCAAATATCTAAAACGAAACAGTATTCATACTCTTTTTACGTAAATGACATTGCGAACCATGCATTAAACCGTGTGTTAGACTAAATTGTTATATGGAATAGAATAGGAAAGTTGCTTCGGAGGTCAAATAATAATGAAATATTGACCTATAATCCTCAAAATGTCATATGATTACTGAACACTATTATTATTATTATTATAGTACATTATTACAGTATTATTAATTATTAATGATTTACCAACATGTAATTATGGAAAGTATAAGATAAAAGAGGAGTAAGAATCTGCTAATCTGTAAATGCCGACTCTGTAATGGCTTTTTCAATCATCATTATTTAGCCATCATTCCTGTGTGCTAAGCTCTAATCACATCCCTAATTAAGTTGAGATATGGAGAAAGGACAAAATATATGAAGATAAGCTAAAGTGTAAATACAGAGATAGCAGTGCATAAAACACACATAATGCAAGACTTTTTTTATTCCATCTTGTTTGTTGAAAAATCGTCAAAAGAAGGTGGAAAGAAAATATATATTTTGGCTTTCTTATTTAGCAAAACGGCTCTGCCAAATTGTTTTATTGATAAATGAAAAAAATGTGACTGAAGTAAAGTAATAGAGAGTGGCCTCCTTGTACCCTCAATTGAATCCTTCTCCTTAGTTTTAAAGAATGTGACAAGTAAAAACTTCAATAATCATATTGATAAATGATTTATATTAATTTAATTCTAGAGAAATAAATATTTCATATTTGATTTGATGGCGACAGAGGGAGTGATAAATATGAATATTTTTATTTTTTTTTATTCTATAGCAACAGGGAGACTAAATTTTTGTTTGATTGGAAATCATATTGGTGAGCGGTGGGTTCTTGAAACATCATAAGAAAGTCTTGCATATCATAAATACACATTCAAGTCATTGATAGAATACAAGGTCGGCAAACTAGACTATACGTACAAATTGTTGTGAATTAAACAATATACAGATATAAAGACTTTATGTAATGTATAAAGCACTCAATTTGATGAATTTTGAGCTATGGGCTGTGTACTTTTGCAGTAAATGCTCATCCCTGTAACTACTTTACCAATATTCAACACCAGAATAAATCTCAGATCAAATGCTATCACATCTTCTCTCCACTTTCCCACTTCCGTACTAAAAGCATGTAGAAAGTATTTCAGTGCTCATGGGCAGGATCATGAAACATTCTTTTTCGTCTCAGTAACAGTTCTAATCTCAACTCATTCAAATGTAACCTTAAGATGAATTTTCTTTAATATTCTAGTGTTTGCTTTCTGATATCTTCGGCCATTTTCTGATACATAGGATTCTTTAACTTATGTAACTTATTGATCTAAATATAATCTATGAATACAAATGTCAAGTAGAGTGTTGCAGCAAAGTGTAATAAGAATAAACATAAGCTCACAAACATTACGATTCAAACATGTGGGTCTTATAGCGTGGGTTCAGTGCAAAGGTTCATGTAGAATGAGATAAATGAAATTTAGTCATTAAGACCTCAGTATGCAGAATAGTGCTGTTTGTTTTTGTTTTATATCTGTTACTTTTATACAGTAGTGCTCAAAATAAATATCACAAAGAAGTACCTAAACTTTGCCATTAACAGACCTCTCATGATATAGAATGCTGCTAACCAGGTAGACGCGGTCGTCATAAAACCAACCTTCTCTGAGTACTTCGCAAAGACCTTCAAAAACGTGGCCTAAAACTACGGAACTTCGATGATATTCAAGTACTTCGTGAACTTGCTGCTAATAAAACTACATGGATACGTCTTCAAAATATGTTATGAGACTGATCAGAAACTTTAAATTGTTAAAGCTTTTGTAAACAGTATATATACAGTATATATATATATTTCTTGGCATCTGTTATTTGGTGGGACCCCAGCCTCTTCTTTCTATCAACTCTCCCATGGTAGAACCCTCTCACTTGGCCTTATTTTGCTGCCACTCCTAAAAAGCCTAAATCACCCTTAATCGAAGGGACATGTGCATGTATACATTATACTGCATACCGCCTATGGCAATCAGAAGCACTTTTAAATCCTCTGTCAATAGTTCATGGCTATCTTTTTTCCCTTTAATTTTCTATCATCATTATTACCATTTTTTTTTAATGTAATGCTCTATGAAAAATTGTTGATATTGCATGATATTATTATCACCAACAATTACATGAGTTATTATTTGTCATTGTAAATGGTCCAAGATTTATTGGTCTATAGTAAAATTGGGAAAATACTTTAAAAAGTCTGTTCGAACATTGAATTGCACATTTAAAAAGGTCAAAATAAGAAACAGCATTATTATGACCTCTAATTGTTGTCAAGGAAAATATTTTTTTCATTCTAATTTACATTTGAAATTTAAAGTATATTAACTCAACAGAAAAAGTATATCTTAATTAAAAACCCTCATTTGTATTGAGAGCATTCACAGCGCATATGTACTTAAAAGACAAGACATTTACTGATGTAATCTAACACATAGGGTAAAATGATTAAGTACTTGCACTAAAACGCATTAAACACATAAAGATGAATAGTTTGATACTAAAAAGATAAAATGACAAATAAATTAAACTAGCGTGGCAGCAACCGTAGCAGTCATGGAATTTGAATCGCTTACTCGATATACGAAGCGGCATTAAATCCATGCATAGATGAGGGTACTCGAACACTGCTGTTCTAGAATTTATGATAGTAAATAAAACGTATTTTGTCCCTATCTGGGTTTGAACACAAGACCTCCCGAATAATGATTGGATAGTCTGAGCTACTGTATGAGGCCATTTTGAATACATATATCTTTGGATTTTCCCACTACCTTGTTTTTATCAATATATTGCATAATATTCAATGAATAGTAATAGACCACATGAGTAGCTTTGGTATTGAGAAACATAGATGATAGTATGCTATTTGAGAGAAACCTGTTGTCCCCATTGGGGATTCGAACCCAAGAACTTTTAATTACTCTACCATTTGAGCTATGAGACCAAGGGTATACATATTTGTATTTTCCATTTTTCTCCTGGTATTTTGTATACAAAGTGTGATAGGTCACACGGTAGTAATGTATGTGTGTATTAATTAATATCAATAATAAGGAAAGGGAATATTGTTATGTTGTCCCAACTTAATCAAAATTATAAATCAGGGCCAGTCAGTTGGAAATATTTTGTACTATGATAGTATGATAGTACTATGTGAGTCACCACTTTGTTACTAAGCATCTACAAACAAGCAATCGACACAGCTTAGTGTCTAGACCACTATGCAATAATATTTCAAGCTTTTTCAATTATTATGTGGACATAAATTTTTTTTCATAATTTTCACAAGAATACAAACACATAAGAATACATGTTTTTACATAGTTTCTTTTTTTTTTAATCACTTTACAGCATATACTGTATTGTATTTTTTTCTTTGATTTTACTTATTCACTTTATAAAGTTACATTATTATGAAGCGTATCTCTGTATACTAACTATTGCCTTTATTTGTAGGTTGTCAATCTAGTAAGCAGTAATGATGGGCAATACGTGTTCACAGCCGGAGGAGCGGACGCCACCGTCCACATGTGGAACGTGAACATTCAGTGAGTTGCTTACATACAATAAAAGACTCATTAACGAGACCTGTCACTTCATTGCTTAAATACATTCAGCCTCTGGGTGTTTGAATGTATGCCTAGTTCGTTAACCTGCGTTTGAATATCCATGTAAATTCTCATTACGTATTCAGTAGCAGTAGTACTATACTCACCAGAGGTACATCTTTGCGTATGGTCATGCATTATAGATGATCTATACCCTGGTGACTGCAGACATAATTATATCAATAGTATAATAAATGTGGGCCTGGGGTCTAGTTGTATCACCCGAGGCCCTCCTGCCTCTTTTGTTTCAATGACTTAATTTGATAATTTCTTGCTCTCCAATTAGAGAGGTAATGGCCCTGACTTTTTAGAAGAAGAAGAAAAAAAAATTGGTAGATGTTTATAAGAATATTAATATTTCTACTCATTTTCTTTTGCTTTTAACTAGTGGCTTTTTTTTTATAAACCCTGTTTTTTAGCAATTGTTGTTTTTGAAAGATCACCAAAAATATATTGTTTTCTCAATAACAAAATGGTTTTGCTTAAAGAATCTAGGCAGAATGAAATTCAATAAAATTTATTGAGAAATTAGGAAAACATGTGATGTAGAAAGAAAGTAATAGAGAGCCCTCGCGCCAGATCTTATCACATGGTCACTGATTTGGTATTTATGTAGTGCCTTACATTTAGGTTACGAAGTGCTCTGTTTTCCTTGATCATTGAGTCCACATCGTATTTGTTACATCCACATACTGTAAGAACCCCATGTAAAGGCCTACGGGAACCATTGATTAGTTTCTTCTTTATCCCTCACACATTTTATTTTCAGTTTCTCCCCTATGCAGATGCTTTGGCAGAACAAATTTTGCTAACAAGAAATTATATTTTTTCTGCCACTATCTTTAAAAAATATAGTTATTTGAAAATGATAATGTAGCCTGTAATGTAAGTAATAAATTAGGTTTAATATTTTCTAATAATAACATTATTGACAGTTCACAAAATTGGTCTATACTATTGTTTAAAGAAGCTTTTGCTATATGTAGGCTACACCCATTGCTTAACAATGGGCTAAAAGCTTCAAAGGAGCTTTCTTTGTTTTTGTAGTTAGCATTGATCCGTTGGGTAAAAATGCTTTGACCTTTAGTTTATTCATAGCTATGTCACCTACTAGGGGTAATGTTTTGATTGGTCGAACACTTTTGGTACTTGTGCATATAAGCTTGCAAATATGGATAATTTTTCATTCCTGATGATGACATAATTAATGTCGAAATATTGAATCCCGACACGATGGCGTGCATTTCGATACTTGGAGTATGTATTATACTATCTTATCTGAGATTAATCAGTGGACCTTTCGGTACCGAAAGCTGTTAAAAAGTGTTACCTGATTTTATTTGTCTTGGCCTCTTTGTTACTGAAAATTAAGGGCTGTAGGAATCTCTCCTAGATGAAAGGGCTTCACAGATATATACTCTGCTAGATTTTAACAACATCTGTAATGTAGTTCGTAACCTTTGACATGTCAAGTACTGTTCATTACTTCTCTCTTCTACCTGTCATGCTTTATTTATAGTCAGTAACACTTACTGTCTTATAGATTATCGCCTGGTTTATTTATAACTTGTTACAGCGCCATTATTATCTACTGCACTCTGCTGCTGTTGTCGTTACAATAATATGCCAAATAATAACAATTTTTATTGAAATTTACACAGAGTAACAGTAAATTTTGAAATGCTAAAGTTTAAAAGTAACTTTAATATAAAGAGCTGTTTTTTTTCTTGTACTATAAATATTAATTTTTGAAAGTAAAAATTCATAAAAAAAATTGCCACATGCCTCATTATAAGACTTCACTGTAATTCTGTAGTAATTAATGTATGTGTAGTTTTGTTACTATATATAAGTTGAATTTTTAAACATAGAATAAAAAATAATTGACATGTTATATACAATTAAACTTGCCTAAGTTAAGCCTAACTAGACTAATTTCTAAGTCAACCTTATTTACATGCCAAACTTATGTGTTTTCCATTAATTAACGATCTGTAAGTCAAATTTTATCTATAGTCAAATAATTTTTCAATGCCATTTTGGATTCGACTTTAAGGCAAGTTCAACTGTATGTTTATATATTACAGTGTACCCTCCAATTCTAGACCCCTCTAATTCTGAGACCATTTTTACAAAGAACCAATCTATTAACACTTAGCTATTCATTTATGTAGAGACCGAAGCCTAGACCGCCGCAAATTCATTTTTTATTTTATTTACTTACTCAAATTCTCTTGGCTAAAAAACACTTCATTAAAATATTAAATGAAAACATTGCCAATGAAGAGAAAGGCTAACAGATGAAATACACTTCTGAATCAGCCAATCCCCTTGACAATTTTTCAGGTCTCAAATTTAGTCTCCAATTTGAGGGCAAACTGTATATATATCTACATATAACTAAAATATGTGCAGTACATATTATGTTTATGTACATTTTTTGTTTAAAAATGTGTCATATTTTTGTTGCTAGGGCTCTAGAGGCCGTAGCCAGACTTGGTGGTGAAGGTCTTACGCCATTTTATGGACTGTTAGAAGGTGGACGAGATGGTGTACTGTTTAGAGAACTTGAAAACTACTTTTACTATGCCCAATTAAGAAGGTATGTTTTACTACCGACAGTTTAATGCACTCAAGGCAAGTATGTTGAGAAAGCGAATATCTTGTTATGTTTACTTTACAAGCTCTGAGGTGCATCTCTATGTGGTACATATTTTGAGGGAAATATCCTTTACCGTGGCTACGTGCACATAGCCCATCATTTTCAGGCCCATAACCAGTTTTGTTTAAAACTCACTGCATCACAAAACGAATCAACTCCGCTCCCTGTGAGCGTATAGATGATGCAACGCCGTCTCCTGATTGTCAGTGGCAGTCTATAATCCATTGCGCGCATGGCATTGCATTCTCCATAGAATTGCGTCGGCCAATGTCCATCGAGGCCAGTGAGTGCCCAGCTAAGGGGAGGGCTCAGGAGTAGAGCACCTGTGGAGCTGCCTAGTTAATTCCATCATTTGGATATTTGCAAGGGGAAGAAGCAGTTCAGTTTTGTCAAAAGGGGTTCACTCTAAATGGGTGTTTGGCCAAACCATATATATTCCTATGGTTCCGGAGGTGGAACAAGTCTTCTCGGATAAGGACAGTAGGCCCAGTGTACACATTTGGCTCGTGTGCACTTTAAAGAACCCAGTGCATCTTTCGAGAAGAGTAGGGGGTTACCCCGATGTACTGATCCATTCATTCAGCCTCTCCTGCGTCCTAGCTGGTGCCAAACGTAGTGCACCCTTGCACTCCTTTGGACCCCACCAGTGTTGGAAATAGAGGGGGATTCTGACGCATGGGCAACCCAGGATCTCCAAATTCACTGCCCAGGCACGCCATCGTTCATGGCGTATAGCATCGTCTTTCGAGACGGCTGGCCTATATATATATTCCCAGGAAATATCTATGGATTTTTCTTCACTAAAAATTGTTTGTTGAGTTCCTTGATAGAGTGGAGCGCATTTCCCCTATCGGCACCATCACTACTTCATGATTACCTCTGGCTCGGCTCAACTCAACATAACGATGGTGTTTACCTTTTTTCTTAATTAAAAAAACATGAATAGTATTGTTGTCACATGCTATTTTATAGACAATTGCTGTTTTTTCACTCCTGATCTTTTCTGGACTCAAGAATAAATTACTTTTACTCTAGTTCATTTATGATAAAAATAAATTTTGATATTCGACAATGTGTATATAAAAAGAAGAAAACACAAGAAAAGGAAATCGTTATTTTGAATATCATGTAGAGATGATTTTTGAGAAATGTGTTTTTGAATCATGAAATTGAGACAACTGGTTGTTCGTATACCTCTCAGAGGGAATAGTACTAACATATCTATATTTTTTATTATATAATCTGTAACGCTGGCTGACTGCAGTAATGTTTGAGTCTTGCATGAATTTCCCCCTAAATGTTTAATCCACACATCTCATGAAGGGAGACAAGATGCTCTTTCAAAAATAGCAAAGAAATGTAGATTATTAAACAGAGTTAATTATTAGGTTTATCAAACACCTAAAAACCTTACTTGCGCATTGTGATTTGCCTTTTCTATATAATCGCATCAGCCCACTATCGTCAAGCGCTGTAAGTGGCCAGCATTATGGACACAGTCTGATAATAACTTCCAAGCCATACTTAAATTTATTGACCATCGTTATATTTAATTAAGGAGCATAGAATAATTGAAAAGTGATTCGTACATTCTAGAGATATAACATCTGCCCCTCATATGGTATTCTTGATATTCTACATAATTTCATATAGATAAATATTAATAAATATAGAAGAATATTGCTGTATATGAATACTAATTATGTTGATTGTTACTCACTATATTCATCCAATGCTGTAAAATACAATATAAATTGTATTTAATATTCCACACACAGGAACACACTTTGCCTGAATAAAAGCATTGTACAATACACAAAAATATTCTCATTTATACATTATTCTTTATAACAAAGAAACATCAGGGTCCAGAAAATACCAACAACTTTTCACTATAAAACCGTAGGCTTGGGACAAATGAGTTGCATAATAGTTATAACTAAACTAAACACTTCATATTGACAAACTTTATTTACTTTTTACATTTAGTCAAGGAATTGACACTCTTGACTCGCGTGTTGTATCCACGGAGATCATTTTGTCTGAGGTTCCATTTGTGATGCGAGCGATGGGACTGTACCCTTCGGAACAGGAAGTTGAGGATATGCTGAATGAAGTCAAGTTTAGTGAGTACGTAGAAACCGGCAAATATGTAGATCGCATTGATCTTGGAACATTCATCAAACGTAAGTTCTATGGGATTTTTATTTCAAAAAATTGCCATTGCTACGACTTGCTTTTGTCTTTTGTTGTTTAATTTTTTTTCACGACCAACAGCAAGTACACACATGTTCTTCAAACCTAAGCCCAACTCAGACGGCATTAGCCGATGCAGTTTTTGCATCACATCATATTTGTGTTATCACCTCGCATACCCGATGCCTATCATAAGACTGTCGGAGGCAGTGTTAGGTCTTCAGGAGAACATTCAACATAAACGCGACTGATCATTGGGTGGCCAATGTTGTGCGTAATTCTCATTATGAGGCTTAGAGAGGAACGTCATCTTTCAGTTACGAGGAAAATGCTGTATTTGAACAGTAGAAGAACAATGTCCATGTAAATTGAGATTTCTATTGTATACTGTTATGGTGTTATGATTATAATCGCCATTATTATTCAATCTATTAATCATTACCTTAAGTGACAACAGTAGACACACATACGCGTGTCATCTTTGTATCATCTCAGTTATTACCATAATACATCTAAATTGATAATACCATTTGACATGCATCAATCATCATGCCAATCTACAGGACTTCCTGTGAACTTAAAATCTTTGTTGATATATTTTTTCATCCTTATTTTTTTTCCATAAATATAATATATCACTTTCAAGTACTTTTTATAGATGGTATTTTAGAAACAGTTTCTTTTTTTTTTTCAGTTTTTATAGTGTGTTTATATTGTTTTAAATATTTGCATAATTTTTGCAATAATACAATACAATTAAATAAGTAATAAGGAACTTGAAAGTACACAGATAATTCTGCATGATCAATATTTTTATTTATTAATAGATTTTTAAAACATATTTTTTCTATTCATTTGAAATTAGCTTGGCTCATTCTTTAAAATTTATTTCATATTTTTACATCATTTGTAATCTATCGACTAATGTTTATTTTCCTCTTGAGGGTATCTGATAATTATACGAACAGTATTTTTAAACGGTAACCTTTCCAACTCCGATTATTAAGGACCCGCATAATCAACAAAAATATTATGTGCAAGTAAGTGAAGACAATATTGACCACTGAATCTAAAATATGATCTTTTCGCTCTTATACCCCAGGGCATCTGATTTTATAATTGGGCGATTCTGAATGTGGCGTATGGGACATTCAGAAGCTGATTTGCTTCCTGATTATTAAGCAATAATCATAAGAAAACTCTGTTATCACAACATATGTATGTTCAACATTACATGATAGCCAATTTTGATGAAATCATGCTCATAGAAGGAATTCATCTGCAACTGTAGCAGAGATGTAGCTTTGTGGTTAAGGTGCTTGCCTTCCAATCCCACGGTTCTGGGTTCAATTCCTACCAGCACAGAATTTTTTTTTTTCACGACTGAAAAACATCTTTACGCCATAAAGCTTGTATGAGACTTAGTTTATAAAGTGTCGCATTATTTTCATTTATCTAATAGCAACTAAATATCAGCTTATCTTCTAGCATAGGTGGGCAAAGTGAGGCAGTTATTTTTTTTGTGGGGCCCTTGACAATGAATCTTGATTTATTACAGCCTGACACCGATCATCTCTACAAAGTAGTGTTAAAACTGAGAATAAAGTGATATGAAAGCAGTGCATGAAGGTTTTTGGAATCCACTGGAAACAAGAAGTTTGGATGTGGCCCTCGGTGTTAAATCAAAAATTCACTTTGGCCCTCCGACCAATTTTTATCGTCACCTCTTTCTTCTGGAATAAGCTGGAAGGGATATTGTCATCTATTAAATTATCATTTAATAGAATCAAATTACTTTAGTTGTTTCCAGTTAGGTAAATATATTTGATAGTGTGAATAAATGCTCCCCATAGATCCAGAAAGACATTATTTACTGAATGTATAATGTTCAGCAAATGTGATATTTTGACACTGTTCATAAAAGGCAGCCTTAGCATAATATTTAATCTAGAGAATTGTTGATGCAGATACTGATAAACACATTGATAATATATATTTTTAAAAAAAAAGTAAATCCTTGCTGAGCCACTAGGGCCCATAGGGCTGGAGCTTATCCCCAGTTTGAAGTAGCGTGAAGCGGATGAGAGTGTGATTCTTCCCCTGGGTGGGACGCTGGTCCATCACAGGTTACTCCCAGCAATTAGCTGGTATCCATTGATACATCTGGGTAGACTGAACCAATGTAGATAAAGTGACTTGCTCAAGGACAAGCAATATGAACAGCGAAATTATTGAAACACGGACTCAAGGTTGGGAAACCAAACCGTTTCCACTGTGCCAAACCGCCTCAACATTGGATAATACATGATGTAATATTAAATTTATTACGATTTGAATAAGCAAAGTCAAAGTAAAATTTATTCATCCAAAAAAAAAATTAAGCAAGTATATAGGAAATCATAAATGTATACTGTTGGTGATTGTTGAATATAATATTCAACATTGTTGTCTAAAACTCTGTTCAGATTATAAATTTTTCTTTGACGAAAACTGGTGTAAGCCCATATATAGTCATGATGTACCTATACATGTTCAATATGTGATGTCAACATGGCCATATATAGGCATGTCACATGCTGTCAAATCAAATTTTTGATAGTCTGGCCAGGGTTTAAGGTATTGTTAACAGCCATTTGGTGCAGTGGCCATGCTTCAGACATTCAACTGAAAGGTTCTGAGACCAATACTGCCCTCATTGCTTGTGTCTTAGAGCAAGAGGCTTCATCTACGCTTGCCTTTCTTTACCCAGGAGTATAAGTGGGTACCTTATAGAACAAAAAGACAGTAACTCCGAAAAGAGACAGACATTTTGAGATTCAACGTTTCGATCTCTATGATCATTTTCAAGAATACTTGAAAATGATCAAATAGATCGAAACATTGAATCTCAGAATATGTCTCTTTTCAGAGTTACTGTCTTTTTGTTTTATTTAAGACTAATTAGTGGACCCTCTGGTACCTTATATGATTTCAATATTACATGAAATTGAGCTAGGAATGCACCCCAAGGAGTGAAACATGGCGGAGAAGGAGGTTACATGCATGTACATGATTGATTTTTTATCCTGTGCTGCAGGAAAAGGCATTTTCTATAGATCTATTACCTAGGGGAAAACGTAGTACATTCTGAAATGGATAGAATTACCATATAAATCCTATGTATAACAAAATGTATAAAAATATAGTATAATACTGTGTTTTAAATTCTGAGGAATATATATAAAGATTAATGGCAAGGTACTTGATTGTAACATACAGAACTAACTTTATATAGGTACATAAGATATTCAACAATTAATGCTTAATGCAGGCACACATATATTACATCGATTTACAGTCAAGAAATAAAGTCATAAGTTTCCATTTAACTGCTCTTTCCTGATAAGCAACTACTGTATGTAAATACATTCCGAGAAATGCACACAAAGCAATAAATTACCCAACCTACCATATAAAATAATTAACCACCCTCTTTCCTGAAAGCCCTTTGCACTGAATTGCCTAATTTACTATTAAAAAATTATTCAAACTGTTATTGGTGTATGCTAAACGAACGTTGTTTTATGTTGTCTGTGGTAGATACAATGTAGTGCAGTACATTTAGTCCATGCAATATACAGATATGACAATACTTCTATATAGGAATATATTGTATGCTGTCAATACTAAGGGTTGGATTTTGGGGTGGCGGGGTGGGCCGGCCATGGCCCCACCCTTTGGAAAGTTTTAAAAAAAGAAAGAAAGAAAAAGAAATTGATCGCTCAAAATGCCTCCGAGGTTATTTTCGGGCATCTAGAAAACAAAAATTTTGGATGGGCATGCCTCCTGACCCCCTGGGTAGTGTTGCCTCGATCGGCCCCGCTTTTGGTCCCCCTCCTTTTCGGACATCTCTGGATCTGTCCCTGAAAAAAAAAAAAGGGCAGTATATTTATAATTAAGTTTAAACAATTGATATTTTTTTATTACGAGGCATCCCAAAACCAGTGTTCTGTTACCTAAATGTTAAACTGAGTTATTAGCAGATTGTGGCAGTATTGTATACTTCAGTGCAGAGAAGCCGTAATACTTCTACTCATAAATTTTGGCAATAGTAAGTCAATTCCAGAAAATGACCCATCATTTTAGAGCTTATGATGTCAAGAATATGAATATATTAAAAAGTCTTTTGTCACTGATGTTGATTTTGGCATGCCAAGCCTCTTTATATTAAAAATCTACCAAATTGAAAAACAATATTAGTACATTAAAAGTTTGTATCTTGATTCTAGTGTGGCAGTTTTATAGAGGGGAATTTTTCAGAACCCCAGAAGACATTTCCCGTACTGTTGTTTGAATATGCTACTGCGCTCCTTAACATGCAAATTGACCATGTGCATCCAATATTATTATTATAATTGGTATTAATACTACTCCTGTCTCTGATACAGAAGATATAGTATAACATTAACTTCTTAGCACTATGCATTATATCAGTCAGGAATGTACAGTCGTTTCCTCTTCTAAACACCTGTTCCAACAAACAACTTGCATTTAATTTATAATAACACCTAAGATCACTCCTTAACCCAGCTATTCCATAACTAGATGTAAAGCTAATGTTTCAGGTGAAACGTTTTCTGAGAAACTCAACCAGGTGTTGTGTTCTATGTTCTCCTACAGGTGTATTTGGGTAATATTATATAGCCTGTTGCCTTGTGTGTTTTTGGCTGTATTGAGTGAAGTACCGGTAACAAAGTCGTCGGTTTTATCTTTGCCTGTCGATCCAATTATAAAAGATGTAATATGTCATCAGATAGGACTGTAGAAACATTGTTAATTGATGGATTAGTGTGAAGAAAATCAAGTTGCGACAGTAGGTCGAATATACTGTAGGTCAGAGTAAAAGAATAGATGTTTATGTTTGTAAGTATCAGTGAAGAAAAGATTAGGGTGTTTTTAAACAGAAAATTGAATCCTTGCCCTGGATCCTTGCACATTCTCATATGTACAT